CATCTTTACATTTACAAGAGTAAAAAAATCTTACTAAATTAGCTGTATTTTAAAATATATTAAAATTGAATATACAACTTTGTATAGTTTAATGTTACCTACAGAATATTTCACTATAAATACATTATTATTTTAAACGTGAGTCTACTATATAATATAGACTACAATTTTATGATATCGTGTCATTATCGTGACAGAATAAGTTTTAGCATAAGAGAATACATACTCCGTTTATATGTATGCTTATCTAGCTGTGTGTCTGTCGGGCTTTGATAATTTTATCGGAGTAATAATGTATTTATAAACACCAACTTAGTTGTAAAAGTATTATTACAGGATCGTCCCTCGGGCATGAGCTATACGAGCTCGTTAAAATTTCTTTACTCTGGATAGATTAATCAGCTTGATTCTCAGGTAATTAACATAGGGCTGTCAACATTCTCGAAATGTTGTATATTCATTTACAATGACCTGCGGGCAGTGCCAGTGCATTTATTATGCGGTTATATTCACCTAGTCTTATATTCACTGACTTTGTAATAATCACAGTATGTGGAAATATGAGTTTGAATTAGATTATTAATTCATATATACTGATATTCTCAATAGACCGTATTTTCGGCGAATTGAATTTATATATAATTAAATAAAAAAGCAAGCGTTACAGAGGTTATCCGGCATCCTTACAAGTGCTATAATCGTAGCCTGTAGATTATGAACTGAGCATTAGTAAACTGGAAATTGTAAAGGTCATAAATTCTTCTTTTTTTTTAATTAATAAAATTTAACTAGTCTCAGGTTCTTATCATCTTCTCTCCTTTACGATTTGATATTAATTTTTTAATCTGTTTCCTGCAGACGTCATGTTTCTCTTCTGCGCTCAACATTGTGATATAATCATAGAAAGTCAAACAAAGCTTCATCTAATCCCTCGAGCCTATTTTCAAACCTAAATAAAACTCAGGCACACCGTTCTGGTATACACATATAATGGCATAGCAAGGCCCTCTATAATAATCTTTTGTCTATGTGGAGGCATTATAAAACGTAAATAAATCAAATAAAACAAAAGCAAACAGACTCATAGCTCCTCCTTGCATATAACTATACGTGGTGCAACGACCCTAAGATATATCTACGGAATATATGCGCCATTTAAAAGCTCTCAAGCCCAAGAGAGGTCAGTACGTTTACTTTTTTGGTTAGGCGAATCGATAAGATACTACAGCGATAATCCTTGGCCGATCAAGACAGGACCGATCGATCAAACCAACACAAAACTCGCGATCGCACGTAGCACATATTCCAATTGGCAAGACTGTCTGAGAAGATCAAAGGGCCCATTAATTAAACTAAAATAAATGTAGTCCGAAGTGAATCGCTATGAAGCCTCGCAGAGTATTCAGTATGGAATTTCGAATAGTTGCCGATCCTCGCGATCCAAGGTGTTTCGGCGATGCGTTCAACGAGTTGAGACGTTTTTATGGTGGCCAAGTATCCCGGGAATGAATGCTCGATACTCCGGACGTCGTGTAGTCACTTAGTCAGCGTCTCTGTTCAAACGGATTTCGCGAATAACTGGATTCATTAAAGTTTTACTTATGGCCAGAAGACGGCGCCACGTGTGACTGATATACTTACATAGGTACTATAAAGGAAATACAAAATGAATATTCTTTACGATCGATACTGAATATTCTGCATATTCAAGGTCTCGAAGTGCGCGAGGAGTCATTTGGGCGATCGATTAATTGATTGATGGTTATGTAGACCGCAGGGTAAATTTGCATGGTTAATTTCATGTTTTATTCAGACGCTACGGCGGCTTTGAACGCTTGTCTCCCAACCTGTGTGAAGTTAGCCTCTCTTTCTTAAATAATTAATAATTTAACGGTTCTTTCAGTTTGTCCTGCATTTGTTCCAAATTGTTCCGCAGTTTTACCACAAAAACTTTTTCCGAAGCAGTAATAATTGAAAAAAGTGAAATAAGCTGCAACCCCCTTTCGTCTTAAAACGTATTTTCGAAAATCGTTCCAGGCTTTTCTAGTTGTTCCTAATATTGTTCCAGAACGGCACGGTCATATACGTAACCATTCACCCAGGAAACGCAGAACAAGGTTCATTGATACTTGTAGCATTCAAGAGTCCGTACTCTGTTCTGAGAATTCTGTTAGTTGTTACAATTTTTTCTTATTCCTAATAACATTGTTCTTAAGCCTGATTAAGATATTTGCAAGGGTAAAAGAAATTTCATGATGCTGGAATTTCTTAATAGTATTTCGAATCAGTAGTATATGGTATGAATTTGAACTATTAGTTTGTTGCAGTTGATGGTTAACGTTATAATTATTTTTTTAAGGTTAACAATGTGTTCGATCAAAGATAAACCATATGAAAACATTTGAGAAACTAAAAATGGTGCAATTTCATTCGCGCTTCATCTTTTATATTGAATAAGCCTTAGGAATGATGTCCCCCTATAATATTTTTACTTACAGATGGCACGTAATAATAAAAATGTCATGTTTGTGGTAAAACTTCAGAACAATTTTGAACAAATGCAGAACAAACTGAAACCACCGTTAAATTAATAATTATTTAAGAAAGGAGACTAACTTCACACAGGTTCGCTGACGGCATTTAATCTTAGCGCGCTGATAAATCAACTGATCAAGTGCAAAACTTCTCGTTCCATGTGTGGCAGACTCAACAACGTAACACTCGACGTCATTACACGTACTAATCGTCTCTTGATAATAATTATTATTGAGATCCGTGAGTTTCGTTATCGTATAGCTGTGATTTCTTAATCTGCTTTGCGACGTCTAAAAAAGGGCTAACAAAAAATCTGATAAAATACATAAAAATTAATATCATTTCGTTAAGTATTGTTCCGTACAAAAGTCTTATTTCTGTAGAGTCACTCGTGTTTTACGTTAAATCTTTATACAGACGTGCCAGTGGCAGTCGCTTTACGAGAGACGTTTTACTACCGCGAGAGTTGAGGTAGGTCAATACTATCTCCTTGCAGAATGTGCACTTCTTATCTAAAATTAAACGTGGAGCACTATTTGCGATGATGCAACACGCGCCCGCGTCCTCGCCAGTCTACTGAGATTTGCAGGGATTACAGCGAGCAGAATAAATGTTTGCACTAGACTGGACTGGGAGTCTCATTATCATTAATACAATCGGTAGATATAATTAGGAGAACGTGATTGTCGCGTGCATTTGATTTTAATTTGAGATCAGGTACGAGCTAGGAATAAAATTTTACCAGTGGATAAATTGCACTGCCATAATAAGATGCCTCGGGGATGATTTTCATATGTGGTTCACATATGCTAGTAGCATGCGCTTGGATGGCACCGTACGATTTAAGTACATATGATACTCTGAACTTTCATATCATCTGTTTTATTCAGGTCATTGATTCACCGCGAGACTTACATTATCGTGGAATTAAAAAAAAAATTTATTAAATATGTATGTTGATGCCTCCCTTTATTCTCCTTCCTCTTGTTTGATCGTGAAAGACGTTACGTGACCATTACACGAGCAGTTTCGGCTGGAATGCCAGTGGACTACTTTTCTTGGTAGGGACTCTTGGATGAGTTAGGGATCAACTAATTATACTGTACATTCATTACGTCTTCCATTTAGCAGCCTGCGTGAATGGGGATCAATTAATTTTCGATATTATCGTGAGAATATTGAATCAGTTCAACATCAAGTACCGAAGGGTCCTTAAGTACTTCCTATCCAAAATGCCTAGCTGTGCCCCTGATGACGTTGAAATATTAATCGTCTAATAATATTTAATTGGAAGTTACGATATGGATGAATTCCTATGTCATCGATCTTCATTGATTCTTACCCCTTGAATATATGTATATGGTTAAAATATACATATATAAATACCTAGATTAAAAATTTCTCAGTCGATATGCGATCGTTACATGGTTAAGCGTCGTTTGGCAATATTTTACGTTTTTCTGAACTTAGTTAAATTTTATTATATTGATACGTCAAACCGTTTAAAGGATGTGACATTTAAAATTGCCGCGCAATATATTGAATTCGAAAAAGTTTCATTCCTAGGATTTCTGGATACTAGTACGTCTGTCTTTCTCTGACGCATGTAAATTCACATGAGTATATCTCCCTCGGTCTTGCAGCAAGTATAAAGAACCAATAAATTTTAAAGTATTGTTAGCGCTCTTGATATCGATTAATAAAATTGTTAATCCACAGTTGAAAATCCGAAAGCATCCCACTCTGTCGGATATAAAAATAAGCAAAATTGGTTATTAATTAAAGTCATATCTTGATAGCTGTCAAATCCAACTTATACGTTTGATTCAAATAATGTTCTGTAAGATCGATTAATCAAAATAGTTACTATTGACAAATAAAATAAATCCAATGATTCGAATCTGAAAAACGGAAGCTTTGAAAACTCAATTTCATGGTGAGTAAAACGATTTCTTCGAAAAGAGCATTGATTAATAACTATGAAACATGTTGATCAATAACGTGAATAAAGTTCGATTTTTCGGCGTTGTGCATAAATGATAAAATGAACAAACAGCAAACGTTTAGTGGTTGCCTAAAAGCAAATGTAACTTTCGCGAAGGTCAGAGTGGTCGAATTAATGGTGTGAAGGAACGCGTACAAGGAAGAGCGTATTCTTGGATCGTGGAATAATCTGGAATTTGATTGCGTTCACGCGTTAAATGCAACCATGTCTCTCACGTATGACGTGGGAGCCATTCAAACTGGTAGCGAAGCCCGATATGATTTTTACGATCGTCATAAACTCCCTATCTAGTTCTATATGAGAAACAGTCGCTGACGAAAGACGCCGCGTGTCACGGGTCGCATGACGATAATGAAGTAAAAGTGAAATGGAAACTTATACTGGTCGCTCAACATAGATGAAGCTATCGATATACTTATATTTATATTAAAAGGCGAAGTAAGTTGTATCTGTTACTCACTATAGTCGGATGTATCATCGTTAGATCCATTGACCGTACCATCCGGCAAAATCTGCAAATGCCGATTTTTAATGTACATCTGTATCTTCCGTGATGCTCCCGTAATATGCGAGAGATTAGCCGATCTTTCGGCTCTTATGGCGGCGTCGCCGATCAGATCGATCGGCGCCGCTTTCACTACACCAACAATGGTTCCTATAGTTAAAGCACTGAAACCAGCCCGAAATTTCGCATTGAGAGGTATCACGTTTGACCTGAAGAGTCCACTTTGTCCAAATATAATAAGGAATATGATGAATGCCAACTGACAAAAATAGGAACGAGTTGCAGGACATGTTCTTGGCCCTTTCGAAGTGGCAAACAGTCCTGAACTTGCGCTGGGAACATGGTCCTCCCGATCGTGGCACACTGCATCATCTTGATCGTGCCATCGAGTTCTCAGCTCCTCGAGGGACTGGTTCCTCCTCTTCTGGATACTCCTCGTAGTGTAGGAGGATTCGACGATATCCTCAAGGAGATTCGACGAGTTTTCTCGATCCTGTTCAACGGAAGAACCGGTGCTCGAATGACTAGAGATCAGAGATTGTTTGTACCTGGCCGTATCGCCAGGTAACGTCTCTCGAGAATTGGCAAAAGGACACGTGGTAATGGATAACAGAGACTGCGCAGATCTTCTCACCGAGTCCTGTTCACTTTCACTATCATTCGCCGTCGCCAGACGTGTCTGGTGCGGGCGTCGAACGGGTATCCCTAAGATCGTGCAACCAGAAACCTGGGGAACTCGACATTTCGCCGAGTCCCCACATGAGGATATGTCCCTCAATGGGATATCCTTCGAGGGATCTAGAGTCCTATCGGACGAGTGGTCCTCGAGGATGCTGTAGGAAGTCTCGTTACTCGTGTCGCGGGAACAGTTAAATAAACTCGATCTTGAGATCTCATCCGAATGTCTTCGCGATCTTCGACGCCCGACACGATTCTTGCGTTCCTGGAATCTAGCGACATTCCGGCCCGAAGGGCGACGAGTTGTTACGGGACTTTGCCCGTCGTCGGATGCTGCGATGGGACAGCTCGCCCTCTGGAGAAGGTTACGGTCACTGATCGAGCATCTATCCGAGGATTCACCTAGGCGGGAGTTGTGCTCTGGCTGATGCTTGACGGTTCGAGGGGCATCTGACTCGATCGGTATCGAGCTGTCGGCACTTCGGTAATCACAGTGCAGCACCCATGGCCCGCCCGTGTCGACCTCAGTGGGCATGACGGTCTCATCCACGCTCTCCACCTATGCCCCGCTATTCGCACGTTTCCTCTCTGCTCTCGCTTATCAGGCTTCCTCGTTCTCTTTTTTCTCTTCCCCTCTTCCTCTTCCTCTTCCTCCGCCCGTTCCTCTCCACTTCGACTCCTCGGCGCCTCTTTCGTCAATCTCCAAAGCGCTGCGTTACGGTGCACTCCCAAAGCCTCGATCCGCGGCCACTAATTTAGAATAAACCCATAATCACTTTCACTCGCGCGGAGTCCCCGCGCACGGTCGATGCACGCGTTCGAATAATACCGTCCAGGTACGGCACTTTCGGTATTCTCGCATTTTATTGCACTTTGCCGAGGCAGGTCGGCTTCTACGTTCCGTGAAAATCAACGATCTCCCCGCGTACGTTACGTGCAAAGTCGCGGATGCTGAAGGGCGCGCGCGCACGCGCAAGCGAGTCAGAACGGCTTGTTCGCAAAGATCGGGAACCAGGGAATGCGCTTTCCAGGTGGCATCGGTCTGCCTCTTCGTAGAACAAGTCTTCCCACGTTTGGGAAGGTTCTCTTCAAATGGTAACGCACGAGCGATCGATCGATGAGAATCGATGGGCTGGGCTTTGATCGCAAAGTTAAAGTCTATTCTCGTTCGTTTTATATTTCGATTTCGCTTTATTCCTAACAGCCTAGAAAGTACCTAGACTGTGATATGTTCGTTTCATCACTCGTATAATTGATTGACATCAATCACGTGTCCACACATACGTTGCGGCAGAATCTTCAGAGGGAGTCAATTATTACGATCCTTGCGTTCGCTTCGAACGCTTTTTTCTCAGTTTGACGACCGAAACTTCCAACTATACAGACTCTCCACTGTGAGTGACCGAGTCTCCTTGACATCTCTCGACCAGCTCCTCTTCTTCCAACAGCAGCGTTATCAATGGTACACTGCTCGTCAGCTTATGGAGATTCGTCGCGTGAAAATACACGATTACCGGTAACCGGGATAATAAACTTCTATAAACAATCGTAAACAACTGTTAACAAAGCGCGAACTGGTCTTGAGTAAAGTATGCCGATTTGCGTACTTGTCTCGTAGATGAGATTGTTCAGTAGCCATGTGATACGTATGAGCCATCGGTGGCTACCACGAGGAGGACCGCGAGGACAAGCACGAAGGTTGCTTCATGATTTCGTGCAGTCTCTCCCACTTTATCTCCCTCTCTCTTTCTCTCTATCATACGCACACTCACATGCACCCATACACACTCTCTCTCTCTTTCTCCCGCTTTTTCCCTCTACTCCTCTATCTTTCTCTTTGAAAAGTCCTCTCCAAAAATTAGCAATGCTCCCTCCGAACACGGCGCGACCTTCTTTCTCTTTTTTTTTATTTCTCCGTGCCGGCTTCTTTATAATTCCCGTAGAGTCGATTTTGTCCCGTAGGTGTGTTTCAACTTTAGATGAGCGTACTTGCTCGCCGTATATAGGGGTAGCTGGAGAGCGTGGGGTTATCTCGTAGGTCGGATGGTGCCGGTGCGGCGTCCGAGAAACTACTGAACGAGTGTGCCGCGGTTCTCTTGGCTCGGTTCGGTACTTCGGTTCGCTCTCGTAGAAACGTACACAGGCTCACCGAGTGCCGAGAGTGAAACCAACACTAGAGTACGGAGATCGACTCACTGACGAGCGTACAGCATCCATCCCATCCCGTCCCTGTTCGTCCCGTCCCAACCCGTCCCATTCCGTTCCGTTCCGTCCCGCTCCATCCCATCCCGGAGCGACGCAGCACGCGACAGATCTGGATGCGCGTCCGCTACCGCACCACTGCCACACGATTCTCTTCTCCTTTTCCTGCTCCACCTCCGCCGCTTTCCGTACGATTACCAACACTGCCGCCGCCACCACCACAACCACCACCAGCACCTACTTTCTTCCTCTTTTACTTCTTCTATGCTCCTGATTCTACTTCTGCTTATTCTCTTCTCTTACTTCCTACTTTTTGCTTCTCTATTGTTTGCTCGTCTTTTCTATACTTCTTCTCCTGCCGCTGCTACTTCTGTTCTTTTTTTTATTTTCTAAGCGGCAAGCGACACTGGGGTACGATTCTTCAGGTTGCCGAAGGGTCAGTGCGAACGGCTGAGAACTTGAAGATTGATTGCTCTGAAATCGCTCGGCGTTCCCTGCGCAAGATGCATTTTTTTTTTCTTTACCTTCCTGCGGCTTTTAGAATGCGCACACGTTTCTATTCGTTACTTTGTTCTCTTGTTTCTCTAGTATTTTCCTGGCGCGGCCTAGACTCTTGGTGAGATACCTGAAACAGGAGAATAACGTGTAATCAATTTTAACATATTTCATTTTACCTTTTTTTTTTTTCTTATTTACTGTGCGAATATTCTGCAAATGCTCCAACATGTGCGCTACGCACCGATCAAGATGATTTATTCTTCTACGATCAATTAGCTAAACGAACTGGTCACGTTAGAGTCTTCAATAATTTCTTGTCTCGGGTTACAATTTATTGTTGCGTTATAAACAGACGTGATGTACAATTTTAATTTCTACCCGAGTTCTACGCAAAATGGGTATGAATAATTTATTGAATACCGTTTAATTTCGATATTTCACTTATGCCATTCCCAGGCAATTAAAAACTTACGGGACGGGATCTTCGATCAGGCTTAAATGATCGCCCATACCTGTAGCTAAGTTCTTGAAAGTTCTTGAAAGTTACACAGTAAACATGCCTATAACTTATTTCATTCTCAATAAATGTACCACACAAAGGTCAGCGATCCTACAAAATCAATTTTGATCATTGCCATGGAATTAGTACCGCATGAAACCGGAAATGTAGTCAGCACTACTGGTCTCTTCCTTGTTTCTCGTTCCAAAAAGGAAGACCAAATTCTTAAATATACCCGCCAGAGAGCAGAAAAGAATATTTGGTACAGATTACGTGCCCCTTTACCGTCATTTCGGCAGGCGCCTACCGATAGTTACCATTTTTTACGAGGCGCGCCGAAGTACGCTACTGTCAAACACTCTTGAAGCTCATCTTTCCTAGAGTAAGATAATAGGTTACCTATATAAGACATCTCCCGGTGTGGTCAAACGGAGTCAAAACAAATATTCCTGGAAGTAGCTCCCAGATTACGTTCATGCTCGACTATTCTCGTCTGTCCGTTTGTCCATCCGGTACCGTGATATCCTCTCGACTTCCACAAATCCGTGGTAAGTCACTCCGAGTCACTTTAGGAAGGACTCGTAAACATCGATAGGAGTGAGCTGCGCCATGACAGCCGAAAAAATGACGAGATAGGACACACCGGTGTGAATCGTCAGCGAGAAAAATGCTACAGGTAGAATATGTATGATTAGGCGGCGCCATGACGCTCACCCCGTCACTCCCAAAAGACAGACAAGATTCTTAAACAGGACTGTCTTGTCTCAAGATTTCCTTCATCCGAACAGGAAGTAGTCGGAGCAATTAAAATTCTGGAAATTTTTTAATGCAACCCTTTTTTCCTGTACCCTCGTCAAATATGATGTGGCTGAAGATCCCTTTTCTCATATCGTTATAATTGATTTCCGGGTTGCAGCCACTTCCGGTTGTTTTCGCTTGCCGATAATTCGTCAACATTGCAGTTTGTTTCATCAAAACTTGAAATGCATTCAGACATCGTCTCTATTACACGGACATTATTAACGACAACGAAAGTCTGACGAACCATAATCTTTTCGTTAATTCACATTTCAGTCGGCTGTAGAGAATGTATAAAAAATACTGAGAAAATCAGACCTCAGTGTGGATACTTTAAATCGTTTGGAATTCGAGAGGAGCACTTGGGGCGCTAACCCCATGAAAATAATGCCAAGAGCCATGCGCTAGGGGTGATTCCTGGCACGTGTAAAAAGTGCGGCATACGTATGTCGACATGTCGTTACCAGCCCTTTGGGAGGGTCGAATAAAGTGACTTCTTGGGGTGTTAGTGGCGTTTAACACAACCCGTAAGAAGATAACGTAAGCACCGTGTGTGGAGACGGTAAAAGTAACTAGTCTCCTAATAGTCAGCCGACCATGACGACCATTCCAGTTTAATTTTAGTTCCTGGGCTTCTTTCCTTTTCGCTATTCAACAGCGCCACTAAAACAACGAGACTTTTTCTTGTACCTCATTTTTTTAATCCATTATTCTGGAACACGTTGCCACGAAGAATCGTCTGGTTCACAGTAAGAGTACACAGATGGGTTTTTTTCACTAATCGGTAGAAATATATGGATTCGACATAAGACCAACACCGTGAACTTGGAGTAGTGTTGACGATCGTGATTGATCATTTTATTAACGAAACGCAATGCTGGCACTAAAAAGATAAGCGTACGCATGCTAAAACATAATTGCCGGGGGGGCACTTACTCAACGCGTACATTTATTTTCCAACGTGAGTTCTGTATCCGATGCTCCCACCATGTCCCAAAGATAATCCTCTTAGCATGCGTAAGACCGTAGGTGACTTCTACATACGTGCACTCGTAACGCACCTTGAGCTTCGAATATAATAAACTCTGGTACTTGTTGAGACTTAAATCGTCGTAATTTATAAACTACATATTCGCGAGCTGTCGTATGGGTATGATAAGTAAAAATTATTGTCTTTATTTTTTGAAATCATGGGTGCAATTATTTGCTTTGATAACATAATGATTTTTTTATCAAAGGTTGTTAGGCTGATCAGTGATCTTAAGTTATATTGAATTGATCTTGTAATCAGTTTTTGCTATTAAATTCTTGCATTATAAAAGATCAGGGGGATAGTCTTCTGTTATTAGGTACCTAAACGCTTTAAATTATTTAGCATTGTTATTAATGATTTCATTCTGTTTTTGAACACGGTCGTCCGTTCGCTCGCACCTGGCAATTGCTATCTTTTAACTGACTGCGGTCTCTGGGTCTGTCTGTATGTCTGTCTTTCTGTTTGTCTCTCTTAGTCTACCTGCTTGTACATCCATCTCTGTCTATCTGTATTTTTCTCTCTCTCTTTGTCCATCTGTCATCTGTTTCTCTACAACTTTATGTGGAATACTTTCGAATACATGACATTATTAAAGGTGGAAGATATTTTACCGTATACGAATTTTGAGTGTAAAAATAGTCGTCGAAGCACAATAAATTATGGAAAAAAAATATCCACACAAACCGTCATCGAGTAGCGCAGCAAGTTCAAAAATAATTCGCCCAACGTGGGGCTCGAACCCACGACCCTGAGATTAAGAGTCTCATGCTCTACCGACTGAGCTAGCCGGGCATGTAAATAGGAAATACAAAGTCATATTTCTCAGGCTCTAATTGACGTTTTGCGAAGACTAGAATATTAGTCATTGAAATAATTTAAATTGACGATTTTTGAATGCTTCATGTAGAAATATACATGAGATTTTCAACAGATTATTTTTTGGATTTTTCTAGGATCTTAAAGAAAAGCACTACAAGCGTCGCGTCCATAGAAACCCTGGGGTACACGGTGGAGTGTTAAGGTAAACTTTGAATTGTTTGATCAACGTTTATGACTGAGATAGTTCGGTTCCTTCGGGTTTGAGAAAAATGAGAATCTGAAAGACAGCTTTGAAGTTTGAAATTTTATCAAGTGTTTGCCAGGGTCAATTGTCCTGTCGGTCGTGCAACCACTGGAAGAATGGCTCGGCGCCTACCAACTATGGTTTTACGACGACCCTGGGGGCCAGCGTTGAGACTTTAGTGCCGTTACGTACCAATTTTCGCTGAAAATGTACTTCGAGTAAAAAAAAAGGGTATCCTGTAAAGCAATGATGATATCACAAGCTCGTAAAACTGTCAACTGTGAAAACCCAAACCGAAACCACTTCAGACCATTTGTGGTTGAAAATTTGGAAAATCGAAAAAAATCTATTATTTTTTACTTTATATTAATGCTATCTATCTATTGAATTGAAATCTATTGAAAATGTACTCTTAATGGGATTTTTTGAAATTCGTTAAATTAAGAAAGTTAGTTGTCTGATCGCGATAAAAAAATTATGATCGATGCCATACTTAGATATCGATTATTTCATTTTATTTCAATGTCTACTGCAAAAAAGTTGTCTTATCATTCACAAATTGCGTACAAAAATATGATATTTTATGAATCGACGCCTCAAGTCTCAGGTTTTAAGATAAGCCTCAGGTAAGAAGCATTTTCTTATATACGTGAAAAATTATTTGACCGCGTTGACGTGCTTTCTCAGAAACTGAAAAGACTAGACCTCTTACCTTACATAGCAATAATCATTCCCGAATTTTTATCTCGCTGAGAGTGATTGACCTTCGCGCATTTTGCACGTAATGTATACGAAGGCATATAGCATAACGCGAAATGACATGATAAGGCCTGAAGGCAACCCGACCAGCGCAACAAACTGATAGCAAATCGAACGTTCCCTCTCACTCTTTTTCTGGTTGTCAATTTTGCTGCCTCCGGTTGTCTTTTCTCCGATTGACTTCTTGTACATTTCCGCTTACTATTTTTTGTCTAGCTGCTCTTTCAGCCGAACAAAATCGCTCGTTAATACCTGACGTCTTTCCTCTACTATCTTGTTGAGTTGGCTGATAGTAGTTTTCCGGTTTGCCTGCAATAAGTTCATTCCTACTCGCCAGGAATAGCTAGCTAGACCCGATAGATTCCGTTAAAGACGAGCATCTCATTGAATAAGTATTTTTATGCAATTAATTCAGAAGTCACGATAAGCTATCTAGAAATTTCTAGACTTGTCTAGAGGGTTTGATGGTATGTGAATTTACAAGTTAATCGCGCAAATGGAACTTGCGTTACGCAATGTCTAAAAAAAACGAGACTAAATAATAATTTATATCAAAATTATTTTTAGCTTAAAAACAAAAATTACCAAGTCTAGGTTTTATATGAAACTATAATACTGTCGCGTCTAATCATGTGCGTATATGTAACGGCGATAAGGTTTCCAGAGAAACCTACGAGTTCCAGCTACGTGTTACTGAAAAAAAAATTTTTTGACATACATTCCAGAATACGAACAGGTTACAGAAAGATATAGGGATGTATTATCGAAGTGTAAGGTGCGTCCAAAAAAGTCGATAAAATCATAGTTTCGTCGATAATGATCAAAGGCATCTTTTCACACGAATATATTTCAACCCTTCGTATAAGAAATAAAAAAGAATTATCCTAGACGTCTACAAGACCGAAAAGTCACTCTTACGTACAGTCTCCCTCGTAACGGAAATGTCGATCGGTAGAATATCGATCTCATAACGAC